TGTAACATTTTGTGAGCTGATATTATATATCATCACCTTTATAGAAACCATTTCATCTATGAGATGTCCTCATGCCCTCGTGTGTGTGTGTGTGTGTGTGTGTGTGTGATTTGTCTGGTTAACTGCAGTCTTGACTGATTTATCCCACGTTTAAGGTGACTTGATTGCTCTGAGTTTGGGTGTGGCTAATGAGACTCAATGATGGCCGTATATACAACCGGAGCTTTATTCATAATTAAAGGCAATACAGGCTTAATCAGCAGCCACCAGCTCCCTGTGCTCACTGGAGCCCGTCTCTGTTGCTATGCAACTCCAGGAGCCATAAGCAAGCAATCTGTGCTTGATACATTTATTAGTCTTTGTATTGAGTCTTTATGAGTAAAACACTACAGATGTATTTTATACCTTTAATACATTCCATTTTGAGTGCCTTTTCTTGCTTGAAAGACAGGCCAAAAATGTCATAGCCCAGAAGGAATAATGCATAGAGAGTGTTTCATTTTAGATTAAGTCAAATGTGAATTCATTTAAAGAGAATGTAGCATTGCATCACTTGTTCACCAGTGGATCCTCTGCAGTGAATGGGTGCCGTCAGAATGAGAGTCCAAACAGCTGATAAAACCATCACAATAATCCCCAAGTAATCCACACCACTCAAGTTCATCAGTTAATATCTTGTGAAGTAAAAAAAATCCATCAAGATGTGTTTAACTTCAAACTGCTGCTTTCAGCAAAACTATGAGACCTCTATCCATAATATTGCTTTCTCCAGTGAAAAAGGGACTTGTCTGAAATATGCATTGTTCATGCACTGCGTACAGGCAAAAACAGTATATATATATATATATATATATACATTACGCACATACTGTATACGCACACATACACACACACATACAATCATATAATTTACTTGTATAACTTATTTATACATAGTTTGGGGGTCATATGAATTTCATTCACTTTTATTTCACAGAATCTTAAATGAAACGCTAAAACACTAAATTAAAGTTTTCATTTTTGGGTGAACTATTCCTTTAATACACTTCATGATATTGACACTCCATTGCCATACTCCTGGCAAACATGAATTCTAGATTTCTATTTATCTTCTAAAACCAAATTTACACTCAAGTGGCACAGAAGCTTCACCCGATGTGTCATTTAATTGAGGTGTTCAACGCTTCTCAGAGGAGGCATACATGCATAGCATAAACTGCCTTTGATACTAAGTACTGATGTGGGTCCAAGCTGTGTAATTTAGTCTGGGTGTTTAAGCGCCATTGTATCTTTACACTGAATTGTGAGCAGGCAAAGAGCAGTTTTAACGCTTCTGTGTAAAGACACCTTAAATCTGAAAAAAAGAAAGAATGTAGACAACCCACTCTCTATAACTTTCTAATGAGGTAGTACCTCACTTCCCTGTGTAAACTTCTTGAAATATTTATCTCCAAAAAAGATTGACACTGTTAGTTTCGCTATTCCTAATGATGTAAAAGTACTGAGAAATCAATCTAAAACACATGCATAAGAATGTTTCAAATAAACCTTTAGCTATAAACCAGTAGTTGCTTAAGGAGTGGTGCACATCGTCCTCGTGTGGTGAAAATGGTAACTCCTTTAGGCTTGTATTTTCCAATGAAGGACTAGATATACATTTCCCCATAGCTTGCTTTATTCATTTATCTTGTGTTCATTCTGCAATTTATGCAGTGTTTGTGTGGATGGTGGAGGGGCGGGGGGGGGGGGGGGGGAGTAACTTGCGTTACTTATCTGAAAAAGTAACTCAGATATTCTCTTGTAAATTAAAAAGTAATGCGTTAAGTAATCTGATTACATAACTCGCGTTACTTGTAATGCGTTACCCCCAACACTGAATTTAAGCATAACTCTGAGGCAAACTTTGATGTTATGACAGAGCGATTCCTGAGAGTTTAAATTCGTTTTAAAAACATAAAGGTTAAAGTTTTTTTATAGCATTAGGCGTATATGCAGACGGACAGTAATACATTTGGTCGCAATAATAATAATAATAATAATAATAGTAGTAGTAATTATATATATATATATAGTAAAAGAAGACAAGTAGATAGAATAGAAAAAAAGATTAGGGAACGCTAGTGTTAAGTGTTTTTTTTACTAAAACAAATCAAAAGAATAGAAAACGAATAGAGAATGCTTGAGTTAGAGGGTCAAATGAAGATAATACACAAACATAGTAATTAACAACCGTACAAGCGCAACAGCTGGTCTTTTTCATGCTGATAAACGTCAATGTATCGGCTGGTTTTTGTTACAGCTTCCATGTGAGGGCTGATCCAGGATCTGCTGACTAACCGTGTCGCGTTCGCGGTAAGAGCGCGTCGAGATCTCGCGATACTTCCGCACAGCGCCCGCTTGACCCTGCCCTGTGTCTCGCGCAGCTCCGTATATAAAGGCGGAGGACCGGAGAAGACGGACGGCCGGGGAGCAGCAGCCCTGGGACTGTGAATAAGACCGTAAACCGCTGTGTTTTTATTTCCAGAAACTTTTCAAACGTTTTAGATGTTTCCGTGCTTTTTTTAAATGGTTCTTGCTTGATACCCGCGGTGTGTGTCTCCCCTCACTGCGCTCATAATGGCGAGCTCGGCTAACTCGAACCTGGTGGTAAGCATCAGACAAACGGCACTCATGCTCCGAATCACACCCGTGTCCAAGCATTGCAGCTAGACGCAGCGCTTTTTAACCAAACCCACACTTGGCATTTACAATAATAAAACATATTAGTCACACGTACACATCAAGTCTGGTCCATTTGCGCTGTCTTTAGGGAAGTGTGTGTGTGTGTGTGTGTTTGCTGAGAGGGAGAAAACACAGTGGCTCTGGTCCATTGCAGTAAGCGTTATTATGTGTTAGACAAAACGCATTCAAGTGTTACATTTGACCTCGGCCGTGTAAAAAGCTGTGTTTGATGCGGAAAATAAAGTCTGTTGGCTCGCATTCTTCGTGTAAGTTAACTCGATACACTGCAGTCTGTTACTAAAGCACCCTTAGAGTCTGAAATTGTGCCTCAACAGATCTGCGAAGATTTCAATGAAGAGTTGTGTTGTGTTGTTGTCTGCGTGTTACAACGAAAGCCTTTCTAAGATACAGCACCACAATCTTATTTTAACGAATTGTACACGGACCCCCTCCCCTCCCCTCCCCTCCCCTCATATTACCGAGTCCCATGCATATAAACCCAAATATGAGCCGGTTTTCACAATAAAACACGTCCACGGAAGCCTGTCAGCAGAGCGCTACAGTGCAGGCGAATGCGGTCTCATCATGGCTGCCGTCTGCGTGTGTCTCCGCCTCTGACCCTCCTTCTGTCAGACGCCCGGTCTTATACAGCCGTACCGGCGCTCTAATAGAGTCTCTGCCCGGGATGGGACGGTGCTACCCGGCGCTGCGTCACCGGTCTGCATATTAGGGATGGGCGTATCGATCCAAAGTATCGATATATCGATACTGACGAGAGGATCGAAAGCATCGATACTCAAACAAAAAATATCGATACTCTAATGGATTCACAAGTTTCAAAATCAATGTTCTAAAGCAGCACTTCTTAATGCTGTTCCTCGACTCCCCCTGCTCAGCACACGCTCTGCTCTCTCACCTGATTCAGATCATCAGCTCGTCAGCTCCATCAATGAACCGTGTTCCAGTTATACACTTTTTTTTATATGACATTACTGTCGGTTTCAATGTAGTCTGCACAGCATCGTCTTTTAGTTTCAACCTTTCTGAAAATCCTGTGTCAAATTGTGCCCTGTTTTTTAACTAATCCGCGGTAAAATGAGGTGAACAAAGGACTGAGTTCTTACTGAGGCGGTCTGGATCTTGATTAAGAATAAGTTAATCAAATAAAGTTTATTGTCTGGTTTCTGTGTAGGGCTGCGTTTGCTGCTCTTTTCATTTACCTACTACGTGTGCAAAGTGGTGAGTGGGGCTAAACGGGTAGTGATGTAGAAGCAGGCGTTGATCATCTGCGGAGGCAATTTTTAGCCACACTATTAGGTCATAGAGTAGAACATTCCACAAACTGTCGTTTTGGCAGACTGCCTTCAATATAAGCTGTTTTAGACAAAGTTTTGAGTTCTGAAACTTACAGGATGTTTTTATAGTACAATGCAGGGCTTAAAGGTTACTCTGTGTTGACGTCATTTTAACTGAAACAGGAAGACAGGGCGGGACATATCAAGCAGCCCCGCCCCTTTTTAAAATAGCCAATAGCGTTCGTTTATATCACAGCTTGGGCTAGAGCCGTTGAGCTCCGTAAAGCCGCATTTGACAGGGTATGCCAGCCACAATCTCATCCATATTGCTGTAAAATATAGCATTCTGTGTAGAATTCAAATAGCTCCAATACATTTTGTGGTCTGCGCCGACTCGTGCATGTGATCCGCTCCATGCTATCGTGTCTCTGGACCGGAGCAGAGTGTGTGTGTGGTGCGGTGGTTAGCGTGACACAGCGCGAAACCAGACTTCTTTTTTTTTTTTTCTCAATGGAAAGCATATTTGCACTGTTTGAATCGTTCCCTTTCCCATATATAGTGCGGTACATGCCGTTCACTGTACAGAAAATACTAATTCTGTGGACAAGTGACCGATTTCAGCCGCGACTTCAGCGTCTATTTTATAGTGTAGGGGGCGGGCGCTTCGGATTCTAGAGAGCATTTGATTGGACAAAGTTTGATGAGAAGCTGAAGTACGATGTCAAAAAAAAATCGTTGAGCCGTTTTGGCGGAAGTGACGAACTGCAAGCTTTGAATGCTTATATCTTCTAAATGCGAATTTTGTCACTGTTTTGGAGCATACTGCCTTATAGATAATCTTAAGACTAACATATTGATACTAACACCTAAAAAAAACTTTAATTTTGATTTCATGGGGACTTTAAAGTTCTCCGGCGTGGAGTGTTTGGCTGCGGACCCCCCACCCCCCTACATTTAAAAACAAAACTTATCACTTTCGAATCCATGAGTTCGCCTACCAATGGTATGAGAGCAGCACAGCTTTCAGTCTCAACCAAACCAAACTAACATTACTAGCCAATCAGAATTTTTTGCTCTTATAAACACAAGATGTGCAGGTGGCGCACGGGCGCAGCCCTGATGAATGGAAAAGCGCAACACGTTGAAAAAGCTGCGAGGCGCAATGGTCAAAGATGTCCATCTAGCGCATATTTACAAAAATAAACAGCTCAGAGTAATCATGTCATCTCCATAAGAACGACATGATTGCCAGAACAAATTTACTGGGATTTTTTAAAAGGTCCTGTTCACACATGATCTATTAATGGTAACTTACCGGTAATTTACCAGTAAAGACTGTATGTGTGAAAGGGGCTAAACTCTTCCTCTGCATATGCCGTGAATTTGAATTGCTTAACGTTCATCTGGGAAAACAGTGTGCATCATCTCACTAGGTTTGTAACGTAAATCATATATAAACCTTTGCCAACACAGAGAATACATCAACCTATTTCAAAATATGCCATTTATTTTAAATCACGATTTCAAAATAAAAGTTTCTAAGTTTGCATGTGGCCAAATATTAAAATTAATGGATTTAAACATCGTTTAATCACGCTGTAAAGTGAAACGTCACCAGGCCGTTGGTGCCCTCTGTAGGTATTAGTTATGTTCATATTATGTATAGGCATATTACATTATGTATTTTAACGGTGTTGTTCAATAAAACCATGTAATTACTTGGCTTTGATATTTTATTTGAACCAATTATTATTGCCTCATTGTTAGTTTATATATAAATAATCATACTAAAGCCTGCTTTTCACTTAGGTCTATTTGTGTTACTAAAAAATATCAGAGTAATTGATATTCTGATAAAGATATCAATTGTCAAAATAATCAGTAGATTGGTGTAATGAAATGTGTTCATGCGGTTTAAGGTTCAAAAAACACCCCGCCTTTCTGAAACGCGTTCATTTTTATAAAGCTCATCGGCCTGAAAAGAGAGGTGTGCTGTGATTGGCTAGCTATCAAGTGCGTTGTGATTGGCCGAATACCTCAAAAGTGTGACGGAAATGTTACCATACTGTGATGCCCTGTCCCGGCCGGAGCGACGAGACAAAAACATTAAAACTTACAAACGAGGCATTTGTTGCATCCAGTGAGGACATAATTACTGATTATA